ATCACATTAGACAATCAATAATCAATCAATAATTTGAGCAATAGTATTTGTATTTTTCCAATTTACTTACTATCCACTCATAATTATTTTTCACATGTTCATTCACAATCAAACCATCATATGTGATCTACTTTTGTGGAAACAAGGTTAGTAGCAGGACGACTAAGTCTCCCACCAGTTGATTGATGATCATAATCAAATGGTGAGGAGTGAAAGAAGGTCTCATGGTTACATGTACTCTCATTCTGAAAATTAGCTTTGGCTTCACCATTGCTTTTACTTATGCATGTAATGACCATGGTAATCATGTTAATCTTTCATCTTAAAAGCCTTACTATAAAAATGAGGGATAAGTAAAATGTGGTATAAACATTTTTCATCTATCTCTCTTGCTCTCATCTCTCCATATCATCTATATATTTTAAATGGGCACATTCACAATTGTATAAAAGAACATATGTATACTAAATTAGCTACAGAATTATATACTTTAAAGGTTTCTTTATCATACAGTAAATGTTATTACAAGATGTTAAAAGGATTATTGGGTTAGATGTCAAGTGATGACATGTGCCAGGGCCTCCTGTATGTCCAGACTGAAGACTATCATTTAATAAATTCTGGCAAAGTTCCAACAATAAAAAATACAGGATTTGAATAAGGACAAAGTAAAATAAGAAACAAGTAATTCACACTTCCCCCCTTCCCCCTACCACCACTGTCAGTAATTCTGCAACATTGACTTCCTATGTTTACTGAAGACTGGAGCAATGCGATACTGATAAGTATTTCCCTCTACATATCCATTATTATTCATTCTGCTTCTCAGTTCTTCAATGGTTGGATGGGATGATTTGAAAGCTGTCTGTCCTCGACTGGCCTCTTGCTCCCACCTTGTTCGCAAAGCTGTCACATGGCCTGAAAAGCAACAGAGTAGAATTTCGAATTAAAGATATCAAGTCTCATTTCCTTGCCTATAGGTTATATTCATCTTTCCAATTTAACAAATATCCATACAGTAAATTTTAAGCAAGCCAGTACCTAATATTTTTCATTTTAATTTTTCACAATTGTCTGGAAAGTACCATTCACATATCCTATCTATGTAGAATACAGCTTTAAATCAGTTACATAATAATAATACCACTTGCAACATGGAAATTATTTTAACCCATTGCCGCCGGGGATGGCATCTACGTACATGCCATGCCTGCTGTGAGCTGACTTGTTGGATTGTTTTTATACACAGATGGCTACACTTGTACTAAGTATCCAATGAGCCAATTAGGAGTACTGCCTGTCTTGCCCATTCACCCTTTTCATTGATTTACGAAAATGTTTAACGTTATCCTAATTTGCTGTTAGAAATAACACCATCTACATTTATAGCACTAGTAAGAATACGTTTTTTCCCGCCAATTCAAGGAAAGGTGAAATCAGGACTAGCAGAGCCATCTATGGACAGAGATATTTCACAATAATATAAAAAATGAGTACTGCATTTCCCCCATTTTTTGTTCATTTTCCCCGGCGGCAATGGGTTAACAAACTGTATTTTGACTCCCATAACAAGAAAAAGCTGACATCCTACCAGACAGCTCTGAGTCTGTGTTCTGAGAAGAGTCAGGTGGAGTTGTGCTTCCTGTTGGTGACACAAAAGAGCATGTAGCACAGCACGTATGGTGGTGATGAGGGTGCACCGGGCTGCCTCCATCCTTTTGGGCAACCTTCTGAGACTCGATTAAAGTCTCTAGGTCTTCTACAATCTGCATGTAGATTACAACAGGAAATAATGAATGGACTACAAGGAATACTGTATAAAAAATTAAAAATAAAAACATAAAGATGGTGCAGAAGACAGTCTTATGATTCGCTTCTTCAGCATGGGATACCCATTTTCCTTAACTTACTAGTCTTCTCTCCATTTCCTTTCCAGTCTCCTTCTCTTTCTCTCACCCTTTTCACTCTCCCATAAAACAAAAACATTGTGTGGTTGAAGAATGGTATGAAATTCAAACAGTAAAAAAGGCTCGGAGAATAAAGTAATCAGTCAATAAATCAGAATATGAATTAGAAATTAAATTTAAAAAATTGACCCTGAGAATCAGACAAAAACAAGAGAAAATATTGAATAAATATTATGGTTGACCTACCTGTGAAAAATCAGGTCTTTCTTCAGGAACCTTATGCCAAGAGTTCTCCAGTAATGTTGCTACTTCTTTGGGAAAGGCCATATCAAGGGGAGGCCGACTGTGTCTGTGAAAAATATAATTGTTGCTTAGAAATTACATATCTAAACACGTATGTACTACTGCCTGAAGCAGTTCCGTTCCCCCCATAGCTAGGTTTCCCGCATATGTGGCACCACTGTCTACCTACATCTAACCCCCTCCCTCCAGCCAATGTGTTTTACCATACCTTTATACCTCACTACTTTTCTCTCTCTTGCCCTTTTCCCTCCCCCTTTCTTTCTTTCTTTTTCTCTAACCCTCATTCCATTTTTCATAAGGGGTTTCAGGGTAAATTCAGTAAAGGGGATTTTAGTATACAAAGGGAAGAGAGACACAGTAAATCCTACATTTCTAAAAGCTAGCCAGAGGCCAGAGGTAAAAGTGGGGTCACCTGCTTCTCCCTCTCCTTCATCTCAATCCTCTTTTTCCAGTGAGGGAGAAAAAGTTAGTTATGTTTGAGTAAGTAACCTAAGTGCTGTCTCATTTTGAACTTTTGCCTTACTTGTATGCCATGTCAGCAGCTGCAGCAGCAGGCTTGAGGTGTGCAAAAGGAAGTTCAGAGGCTAGAAGTTCCCACAGACAAAGTCCAAATGAAAATACATCAGCTTTAATTGAGTATCTGGTGCACTGGAAAAAAAAACAGCTTATAAACTAAATGGGGGCATATATATTGTTTACATCAAATATATATATATATATATATATATATATATATATATATATATATATATATATATATATATATATATATATATATATATATATATATATATATATCTCATTTATCAAAAAAACTTTGCACCTGCTTGGTTATAGCAAAAAGATTTCTCTTACCTGTGTAAATACTTCAGGTGCCATCCATCGAAGATTACCTGGTTGTTTAGTCATATTTTCTTCAAGTATATTTCGTACAAATCTTGATTCTCCAAAATCTGCAACTCTAGCTCGACACTGTTGACATAAAGATAACTAAGCCTTCTTTATACTAGTAAAATATTGTGCTTTTTATCATTCATCATCATCATCATCATCATCATCATCATCATCATCATCCCTTTTGTCAATATCAGTCTTAAATTCTCATATCTCTAAGATTATATGTGAAAGTTTTTCTTTATTCTATCTAACTCTTAAATAAATATCAACGAAACATAACTCACATCATTGCTTAGAAGAATGTTATGGGAATTCAAGTCCCTATGAATGATAGGTTGTGGCAGTGTATGTAGATACAGCATGCCATTTGCTACATCAAGGGCTATCTGTAGTCTAGTCACTGTGTCAATTGACCTCTTCTGTTCATGTAGAGTGCTGAACAGGGAACCTCCCGCAACATATTCCGTGACAATCGCAAATTGCTGTTAAAATGATTACTTTTCTATAATATCGTGTATAATTTATTTATCATTATCCAAATCTCAGATGATAAAAAAAAAAAATATCACATATAGTAACCAATCTACTCAACTTACACTTGGGTCCTGTAAACAAGCACCAACAAATTTAACAATGTAAGGGGAATCAAGAGACCCAAGAACAGACACTTCACGGCAGAACATTTCCACGTCACTTTTACCATAGGACATGTTGGCTCTATATCTCTTCACAGCAACAATTTTGTCTTCATATTTCCCCTGAAAATTAAATGATTTTTCATCATTATTATACAATAAACTATGTCTTCACATACAGAAACTTATAACTATGTATAAGTAGATACAGAAATAATGTATATAAAAAAAAGGAAATAAGTGTCAGCTGGCAAGAGACCTTACCTTGTAAATTTTTCCAAATGAACCAGATCCAATATTTTCCATATTTTCTATATCTGACAGACTGAGATGTAATTCTGGTGGCAATACTGATCGAAGATGTAGTACATCTATCTTTTCTGGAAAATAATCACAATTTTTACGGATGTTTACCATAAAAGATACTTGCATTATGAAGCCCTCTGAAACATATCACCAATGTTACATTTTATTTATAATCTCTGTCAGTCATACAAAATTTTACTTTTGTACCTTGAATCATTGTTCGCAGTTTGCCAATTGGTGAAGGAATGGGAAAGTACGTAGTTTCAAGACCTGACAAATAGTCTCCTCTTGCATAATCTTCATATAAACCTGGTCGTCTGAAATACTTGAGGATGCTGGCAATGTCATCATACCCTTTCTCATATGCCCACATGAGTGGTGTCTGCTCTTCCTGTATGATCTTAAAAAAAGAGCATTATATCTAATCAGATTACTGTGCCTTAGCTTATTGCAATAAGGATTCTTCCACATGGAACTTCTAGATGCTCTACTCTTCTCAATAATAATAAAGATAGAAAAAATAATACTGAATAAATAAAAAATGACATAAGAGTATAATGAAATATATCACCTCTCTTTACATAAAAGTAATAAATATATGAGTCTGACAATAATATATATCTAAAATTTTTAAAAAGTTATTTCCTCACAAGATTAGATCTCATCTTACGAGATGTATACCTTTTTCTCACTGTTCAAGATCCGATCATGAGCTGTAAGGTTGGTGTCTGCCCCATGACTAAGTAGCAGCTGAACGATCTTTGCATGCCCGTGATAACATGCAGAGTGTAAAGGTGTGTGGCCATCTGGACTCTGCAAAAATACTAAATTAATAGAATATCTTTTTTTTTTAAATAAGTACCTAGCAGAAAACAGATCAATATTGCATAATAGTTAACATGAAAGCTGGGCAATCTAGTTTTATAAAGTTTTATATAAGTTACCTGTACCAGAAACATTGGTGGAGTGTAATTCTAGAAAACATATTTAAATATACAAACCTGATAATTAATCAAAGCAGGATCCTGACTTAATAAGAAATCCACAAGATCTATGCTTTGACCCCCTGTGCAAGCTGCTTGCACTGCTATTTCACCCCATAAGTTTTCTTTCAGCAACAGGCTTGAACCTCCATATGTCAGCAGGGCCTTTGCACATTCAAACCACCCATGATAACAAGCTCTGACAAAAAATATAAAGAAGTCAATTATATAAAAGAAAAAATGCTAGTGTAATCATGCTCACATTTCAATAAATAATTTTTTGGTGAAAACAGAAAATATATATATATATATATATATATATATATATATATATATATATATATATATATATATATATATATATATATATATATATATATATGTCATTCTGCCAAATAAATAGCATCAAATTCATCTTAAGAGTTCAGAACTTTGTCCTGTGAGGTCATGATTCCCACAAAAGTTTTTGAGGTCTTCTAAACATTCAAGTGCAAGTTACCCCAGTTTATATAAGTGAGATTTGAAATCACATATATACAGTGAGTGAAGGAAATGATAATAGCTTTTCTATTTGCAACTTCTATAAATTACTTTTTTATTTTGGATAAACTACTGATCCTGTTACAGAACTTCTGAACAACTGCTTATTTTTCCACTAGAATAACCAATATCTCTATTACTTTTCAACATATACAAAAAGCAAATAATCTCAGACTCAATATGTAAATAAAACATATGCTAAAACTTTGGACCAGGTCAGGTCTGAGGAAACAATGAAATGAAAGAGAATATATGAATGCCAAAACAAAACCACTCTTCTTACCTCAAAGCTACCAGAATGACTATTTAATATAAAGATATGAGAAAAAAATTTACATGGATAATCACAGAAGGCAAATATCAAAACTACATTTCCTACTTATTGGTGACATATTCCATACTTACACATGAAGAGGAGTGTCAAGATAGACATTTGTAATGTGGGCATCAGATCGAAACTGTGGTTGCAGCAGTAAATTTAAAATATTAGAATGACCATTCCGAACACAGCAATGCAAAGCTGTGTTACCTTCCTCATCTTGAATTCGAACTGTTTGGGAGATAAATCTCTAATCGATAGAAGCACAAAATTTTATGCATGTAATAAAATATTCCAAAAATTATTTCTACTAACAAATATATTCATAAAATCATGATAAACAAAGTTATTTCAAAATAACAAAAAAATAAAATAAAAGTCTACTAAAATAAAGTACAGAAAATGTAGTTTTGATCAAGGATTTCTTGATACATATTATTTTCATATACATTTTGATTTATAAATTACAAATCAGAGAAACACCTTTTCTTATGTGTGTATGTGTGTGTGTGTGTGTGTGTGTGTGTGTGTGTGTGTGTGTGTGTGTGTGTGTGTGTGTGTGTGTGTGTGTGTGTGTGTGTGTGTGTGTGTGTGTGCGTGTGTGTGCATGTGTGTGTGTGCATATGTGTGTGTGTGCATATGTGTGTGTGTGCATATGTGTGTGTGTGCATATGTGTGTGTGTGCGTGTGTGTGTGCGTGTGTGTGTGTGTGTGCATGTGTGTGTGTGCATGTGTGTGTGTGCATGTGTGTGTGTGCATGTGCGTGTGTGTATACATGTGTGTGCGTGTGTGAACTCTACCCTTTCAAAAAGAAAAGTATGTGGCAAGTCCAACTAACCTCTTGCTCCTTTCTTTAGAAGCATCTGTACCACCTTATAATAGCCAAAGGTGCTGGATAAATGGAGTGGCCGGTCACCCACTGAGCCTGCTATATTGACGTCAACTCCACGTGAAAGTAAATATTCTACAACCTGATTAAAGCATAAATAATACCCATCACTTATTCTGGAACATAGGAAAAAGTGCATTCACGATGGGATGTCACGTATCTGTGACATGCCCACTGTGAGATTACTTGTTTAATTGTTTTTACACATAGATGGCTACACTTGTACTAAATCCCCAATGATCCAGTTACGAGTACTACCTGTCTCGCCCGTTTACCCTTTTCTCTAATTTATGAAAATATTTTACGTTATCTTATTTTGCTATTACTAGTGTTTATAATATTACAGTAATCTTTATAATAAAAATAACACCATCGATATTCATAGCACTAGTAAAAACTACATTTTCCTGCTAATTCAAGGAAAGGTGAAATCAGGTAAGGCAGAGCCATCTATGTGTAGAGACATTTCATAAAAAAATATAAAAAATGAGCACAGCATTTTCCCCATTTTTTGTTCATTTTCCTCATTGCAAATGGGTTAAAATATGTACTAAAAATATGTTGATGGATTAGCTGGTACTGACAAACATTACTGGTAATTTGCTCATGATAATTCCTTTTACATTACTGATAACAATAATGATAATACCATTAATAATAACTATAATAATAATAATAATAATAATAATAATAATAACACAGCTTAAGAAAATAATATTAC